AGTACCACTGGTCTAGAGGCATTCTCTCCTGACGTCTCGCCTGCATCTATGGGAAGTCAGATCTGGCCACAGTGGTCCATACTCTTGGTACATCCCAAAAAGACTACTGCAGCGCACTCTACGTGGGGCTGCCTTTGAAGACTGTTCGGAAACTTCAATCAGTCCAGCGGGCGGCAGCCAGATTACTCACTGGAGCGTCATACAGGGAGCATACCACCTCTCTGTTGTGTCAGCTCCACTGGCTGCCAATCCAGTTCCAAGCACAATTCAAAGTGCTGGTTCTGACCTACAAAACCCTATACGGCTCCGGCCCAGCGTAAATGTCCGAACGCATCTCCTTCTACGTCCCACCTCGGAGTTTGAGGTCTTCTGGGGAGGTCCTGCTCTCGACCCCACATCTATCACAAGTGAGATTGGTGGGGACGAGGAGCAGGGCCTTCTCAGTGGTGGCCCCTAGCTTGTGGAATTCGCTCCCCGGGGAAATTAGGTCATCGACATCCCTCCTCTCCTTTAGAAGGAAATTAAAAACATGGATGTGGGATGAGGCCTTTGGGCAATCTGGCAGTTAAATAAAGGACAATGACGACTAGAATTGATGGTATCTGACAATGTGGAACGAATTTACGGGCTCTTGAGATGATGAACGTTGAGCATTTTATTGGTTTTATAGATGATGACGAATAATTTGATTGTTTTAATGGCTAAAATTGGTATTGTTATAATTGTTGTTATACATGTTTTTATCTTATTGTTTATGCTGGCATTGAACTGTGCCTTTTGTAAGCCGCCCTGAGTCCCCCCTCGGGGGTTAAGAAGGATGGGGTAGAAATAAATAAATAAATACAGCAAGCATCCTCAGAGGTAGTGAGGTCTGTTGAAACTAGGAAAAAAGGTTTATGTATCTGTGGAATGATCAGGGTGGGACAAAGGACTCTTGTCTGCTGGAGCTAGGTGTGAATATTTCAACTGACCACCTAGATTAGCATATCATGGCCTGACAGTGCCTGGGGCAATCTTTTGTTGAGAGGTGATTAGATGTGCCTTATTGTTTTCCCTCTGCTGTTTTGCTGTTTTAATTTTAGAGGTTTTTTAAATACTGCTAGCCAGATTTTGTTCATTTTCATGATTTCCTCCTTTCTCTTGAAATTATATGTGAACAATTTCAACAGAAAGGAGGAAACCATGAAAATGAACACAATCTGACTACCAGGATTAAAAAACTCTAAAATTACAACAGCACGGCAACAGAGAGGAAACAAACAAGGACATCTAATCACCTCTCAACAAAGTTTGCTCTAGGCACTTTCAGGCCATTATATGCTAATCAAGGTGGTCAGTTGAAACATTCACACCTAGCTCCAGCAGACAAGAGTCCTTTGTCCCACCCTGGTCATTCCACAGATATATAAACCCTTTTTCCTAGTTCCAACAGACCTCACTACCTCTGAGGATGCTTGCCATAGATGCAGACGAAACGTCAGGAGAGAATGCCTCTAGACCAGTGGTTCTCAAACTTTTTAAACCGGGGGCCAGTTCACTGTCCCTCAGACCGTTGGAGGGCCGGACTATATATATTTTTAAAACAAAAATCAATAAAAAAATTCCTATGCACATTGCACATTTCTTATTTTGCTGTGTGGAAGGGCCCTTAGAGGGGGTTCTTTCTAGCCCTCTTTAGGCAGTAATTCCAGGAGCAGAGAATGGGAAATCTTCCTATTTCTAGTCTGAACAAAATCTGGCTACCAGTATTAAAAAAACTCTAAAATTATAACTGTAAATAAAGAACAACACTCAAACACAGGGGAACTCCAGACAAGAAACAATCAGGGCCAGCTAATCACCTCTCAGCAAAGGATTCTCCCTAAAAACTGTCAGGCTATGAAATGGTAATCAAGGTGGGCAATTGAAACATTCATACCTACCTCCAACAGACAAGAGTTCTTTCTCCCACCCTGGATCTTCCACAATTTTCCTAGTTAAAGGTTTTCCTCTGACATGAAGGCCAGTCGTGTCTGACTCTGGGGTGTGGTGCTCATCTGCATTTCTAAGTCGAAGAGCCGGTGTTGTCCATAGACACCTCCAAGGTCATGTGGCCGGCATGACTGCATGGAGCGCCGGGGCAGCCTCCCTTGGCTGGCTCATGCTGCCCATCGGGCCCAATGGGCAGCGTGAGCCTGCCAAGGGAGGAGCAGCACCGTGCGACCTACTCGCGCGTAATGCACCTTGCGAGGTGCTTTACGCACAAGTAGGCCATGCGGAGCAGCTGCCCTTGGCTGGCTCACGCTGCCCATCGGCCTGACGGATAGCGTGAGCCAGCCAAGGGAGGAGCAGCACCACGCGGCCTACTTGCGCATAAAGCACCTCGCGAGGTGCTTTACGCACGAGTAGGCCATGCGGAGCAGCTGCCCTTGGCTGGCTCACGCTGCCCATCGGGCCTGACGGATAGCGTGAGCCAGCCAAGGGAGGGGCACTGTGTGTGGGGGGGGCGCTCCTCCTCCGCAGGCCAGATAAGTGCCCTTGGCGGGCCGGAAGTGGCCCGCGGGCCTTAGTTTGGGGACCCCTGCTCTAGGCCATGGCCATATAGCCCGAAAAAACCTACAACAACCCAGTGATTCCGGCCATGAAAGCCTTCCACAATACATTGTTAGTAATCTCATTGTCTGAGCAAGACTTGATCTGGGGGGTTGTTTCAATCCGCTTAAGCCTCACATAAGGGAATAATCGGGTGCGACTCTACTCTGACAATATGGACCAGCCTAGCTTTGCACAAGGAGGCTGTTGGCTTTCCTTGGCCAATCGAGCAGGGCTTTCTGTACCTTGCAAGCTGTTCCTTCAGTCCCAGCAAATGATGTCAGGGCTGATGGGTTGAAAGTGTACACTCCAAGCAGAGCTCCAGATATGGCTAAGTATGGGCCTAGGCTGGTCCCAATAGTTGATGCATCTACTACTGACTAATTGTTTTGTTCTGGGCTGGGCCGAGACCTGAAAGCATTGAAAAGTAGGTGGGTGGGTAGTTGGTGAGATGTTTTATTTTGCAAACATCTGCTGTGCGTGGACTCTTTGGCCCAGTGGGTCCTGCCTTCGTGAAGACACCCACCAGGCCAGATAGCCCTGAGGCCCTTCCAGCCCTTGAATTCCGCCAAAGCAAGCTCTTTGCTGGGTCTTTCTTTCTTTACGAAACCGATCTGTACGAAAAACAGACAAATATCTTTTGCAAGATGCGGGGAAATAAAGGCACATCTGTAGCTACAGAGCAGGGCTTTATGAGTCTGAGATGGAAGCCAAAGCTAAAACAAACCAGACAATCAGCAATGGTTTTAAAGCTTTTTGCAGGTTCCAAAAAGCGCAGTCCTTGCCAGCGCAGGATACGAAGCCCCGCCTTGCCCCTGGTTGCAGCAAACGAGATGTTAATGAGTTTGCTGAATGCTGACGGACGGACGGAGAAGGAAGCCTTCCTATCGGGTGGAGGGAGGCAGGAATCTGGGGGACGGCAGAGCTGGCCTTGCGTTGCCAAGCGAGCGCTCAAACAGACCGAGCTGCTGCTACGCAAACACTCGTTTATACAAGAAACATGCTGACCATCACACTTTGCGGAGAAATGCCCAGGACATTTGTGAAACGAAGGATACGTTCCTTTTAATACACACACAGGAGCAGGATTCAAAACGATCTTGACAGATTAGAGAGATGGGCCAAAACTAACAAAATGAAGTTCAACAGTGACAAATGCAAGATACTCCACTTAGGCAGAAAAAACAAAATGCAAAGAGACAGAATGGAGGACAATGCCTGGCTCGAGAGTAGTACGTGTGAAAAGGATCTTGGAGTCCTCGTGGACAACATGAGCCAACAATGTGATGTGGCAGCAAAAAAAGCCAATGGGATTTTGGCCTGCATCAATAGGAGCATAGTGTTTAGATCAGTGGTTCTCAACCTGGGGTCCCCAGATGTTTCTGGCCTACAACTCCCAGAAATCCCAGCCAGTTTACCAGCTGTTAGGATTTCTGGGAGTTGTAGGCCAAAAACATCTAGGGACCCAAAGTTGAGAAGCACTGGTCTAGATCTAGGGAAGTCATGCTACCCCTCTATTCTGCCTTGGTTGGACCACACTTGGAATATTGTGTCCAGTTCTGGGCACCACACACATAAGAGAGATATTGACAAGCTGGAATGTGTCCAGAGGAGGGCGACTAAAATGATCAAGGGTCTGGAGAACAAGCCCTATGAGGAGCAGCTTAAAGAGCTGGGCATGTTTAGCCTGAAGAAGAGAAGGCTGAGAGGAGATATGATAGCCATGTATAAATATGTGAGAGGAAGCCACAGGGAGGAGGGAGCAAGCTTGTTTTCTGCTTCCCTGTAGACTAGGACGCGGAACAATGGCTTCAAACTACAAGAAAGGAGATTCCATCTGAACATGAGGAAGAACTTCCTGACTGTGAGAGCCGTTCAGCAGTGGAACTCTCTGCCCCGGAGTGTGGTGGAGGCTCCTTCTTTGGAAGCTTTTAAACAGAGGCTGGATGGCCATCTGATCGGGGTGCTTTGAATGCAATTTTCCTGCTTCTTGGCAGGGGGTTGGACTGGATGGCCCATGAGGTCTCTTCCAACTCTATGATTCTATGATTGCTGGATGGCCATCCGTCAGAAGTGCTTTGATTGTGCTTTTCCTGCATGGCAGGGGGTTGGACTAGATGGCCCATGACACGTCGTCCAACTCGTATGATTCTACTACATTTATTCCCTACGGATATGAGGGTTGTACTGTATCACCTTCTCCAAATCCATTTTTTTTCCTACATGGTTATGTGTGTGCATCTTACTTCTACCCTAAAGTCTTATGATTGAGGGCAGAAATATTTTAATAAATGATTTTTGTGATAAGTCCTTGACTTTGAGACAAACACCCCAATCACATTGATGACAGAGAGGAAGAAAAGGGTTATTGGTGAACGGCGAGAGCGGACTCCCCCAGGAAGAAAGGCAATGAAAAGATCTCTAATTACCATCAGGTGGAGGGGTATTTTGGTTGGTCCTTTGGCGGAGATTTTCTCCCACAGGCCTCTCCGCACGTACCGGATGGTCGTTCCCGCAATCTGAAACTCACCAGGAAGTTCAATTTTCCAGTCGCTATTGATGGACTTCTTACTGGAATCTTTCAAAGCTGGAAAGGAGAACAAAGAGCAAGGAATGTAGTGGGAAGCGCTCCCATCATTGCCAAGAAGAGAATACCACGGTCTCATTTCACCTGGTCCGGGAAGTGGCCAAAGGGCACCCCGATCCGGAGACGTCTCATCCTCTTCCAACCCTATAATTCGATACTAGGCTTCCATTAATAAGTTGCAAAAGGTTACCTGCCATTGTGTTTAATTGTGTCATTGTGTGTTGTCAATGTTATTTTGCTGTTTGTTGTTGTTGTTTTTACTATTGTATTTGGGCTCGGCCTCTTGTAAGCCACACTGAGTCCTTTGGGAGATGGTAGCAGGGTACAAATAAAGGTTTATTATTATTATTATTATTATTATTATTATTATTATTATTATTATTATCTGCTCCATCTAGCTAGACAGGGGAAATAGGGTTAGAACAGGGCATAGGGTTAGAACCTGTGTTGGATGGGGTTGCACTCCCCCTGAAGACACAGGTTCGCAGCTTGGGTGTGATCCTGGATTCGTCACTGAGCCTGGAACCCCAGGCCTCAGCGGTGACCAGGGGAGCATTCGCACAATTAAAACTAGTGCGCCAGCTGCGCCCGTATCTTGGGAAGTCTGACTTGGCCACGGTAGTCCACACTCTGGTTACATCCCGTTTAGACTACTGCAACGCTCTCTACGTGGGGTTGCCCTTGAAGACTGCTCGGAAGCTTCAAATGGTCCAACGTTCGGCAGCCAGGTTGTTAACAGGAGCGGTGTTCAGGGAGCACACAACTCCTCTGTTGCGCCAGCTCCACTGGCTGCCAGTCTGCTACTGAGCACAATTCAAAGTGCTGGTTTTAGCATATAAAGCCCTAAACTGTTCTGGCCTAACCTACCTCTCCGAACACATCTCCTCCTATGAACCAGTTAGGACATTAAGATCGTCTGGGGAGGCCCTGCTCTCGATCCCGCCGGCTTCACAAGCACGCCTGGCGGGGACGAGAGACAGGGCCTTCTCAGTGGTGGCCCCTTGACTGTGGAACGCCCTTCCTGCAGATATTAGATCGCCCCTTCCTTGCTGGCATTCCGGAGGAAAGTAAAGACCTGGATGTTTGAACAGGCATTCGACTAAGCAGGGTGATTGATTAACTGATTACTGGAACACGGAATAACGGACGAGTTTTGGATTCTGATTTCACCGACTAGACCGGATGGATTTGTTATAGTGATGTATTGATGTTTTGATGCTTATGTTAATGATGTTTAATGACTTGTGATGCTTCTGTATTTTAAATGCATAATGATTTTGTATTCTGTATACCTAAACTGTTGTAAACTACTCTGAGTCGCCCAAGGGCTGAGAAGAGCGGTATACAAATAAAGTAAATAATAAATAAATAAATAAATAAATATTGCTATGTATTTCATGCATGTGGAATGAGAGAGCGTAGGCCGCCTTTCATCTCTATTTTGTCATAATGTCACCTACTGACATGGAGGTAGATCAGGCATGGGCAAACTTGGGCCCTCCAGGTGTTTTGGACTTCAACTCCCACAATTCCTAAAAGCTGGTGCTTGAACCGAGCCTTCTGCTTGTCAGGAATCAGTACATTAAGCTCCTTGCACAGCTTCTTTTCTGGATCTTGGGTGGACCTAGGTGTCTTGGCTCCATTTTCAGGAATGCTTTTTATTATTTATTTATTTATTTATTTATTTAAAAGTTTTATCTGACAAGTCTGACTTGGCCACGGTAGTCCACGCTCTGGTTACATCCCGTTTAGACTACTGCAACGCTCTCTACGTGGGGTTGCCTCTGAAGACTGCCCGGAAGCTTCAATCAGTCCAACGTGCGGCAGCCAGATTGCTAACAGGAGCAGGGTACAGAGACCATACGACCCCTCTGTTACGCCAGCTCCACTGGCTGCCAATCAGCTTCCGTGCACAATTCAAAGTGCTGGTTTTGACCTATAAAGCCCTAAACGGCTCTGGCCCAGTTTACCTGTCCGAACGGATTCTCCCCTATGAACCATCAAGGCTACTAAGATCTTCCGGGGGGGGGGGCTGCTCTCGGTCCCACCACCCTCACAATCACGGTTGGTGGGGACGAGAGACAGGGCCTTCTCGGTGGTGGCTCCCCGGCTTTGGAACTCCCTCCCACTAGAGGTTAGATCTGCCCCCTCCCTCCTGACGTTCAGGAAATCACTAAAAACCTGGCTCTGGAATGCGGCATTCGAGGACTGAACCTAGAACCTTCCCTGTGATGAATTATGATGAACTGTGACTATGAATATGATTATGACCATGACTGGATTGACGATTTGGCGTAGGAAACTGTAATGATGTAATGATGATGTTTTTATTGTACTGAGTTGTACTATTTTAATATGTAATGATTTGTATTTGCTGTTTTTTCATATGATTGTATTTGATATGCACTGTAAACCGACCTGAGTCCCTCGTCGAGGTTGAGAAGGCCGGTATAGAAAACCTCAAAATAAATAAATAAATAAATAAATAAATATAATTATATACCGACCTTCTCACCTCTCTTGAGGGACTCAGACCGGTTTCCAACCATAATATCACATACAGTCAATAAAACATCATACTTCATATTACAATAAAACATTAAAACATTAAACAGCAATTACATTCAATAAATACAATGGTCAGTCGTCCCACTAAATTTGATGTTCCTCATCCTCCATCCATCTCAGGGTATTGGCTTGCTCATCAAATGCCTGTGTCCATAACCACGTCTTCACCTGCTTCCTGAATGTCACGATAGAAGGGGCGGTTCTGATCTCCGGTGGGAGAGAGTTCCAGAGTCGAGGGGCCACCACCGAGAAGGCCCTGTCCCTCGTCCCCACCAGACACACTTGCGAGGCCGGTGGGACCGAGAGCAGGGCCTCTCCTGACGATCTTAATAATCTTGATGGTTCATAGGGGAGAATACGTTCGGAGAGGTAAACAGGGCCGGAGTCGTTTAGGGCTTTATAGGTTAACACCAGCACTTTGAATTAAAAGCTCCCTTTGAGTGCCATGGCTGCATCCATGCAAAGGCTAGATCCCAAGGAGGTCCTCTTGTCATTATTAATAATAACAACAATAAAAACAACAACAATGCCATCAAAGCCAGAATTGAAAAGTTGACGACAGATACCAAGTGTAGACTCTGCAAGGAAGCAGACAGAACGAGAGATCACAGAAGATCATGCAGACAGACTACAAGCAGAGGCATAACACCATTGCTCAGATGATTCATTGGAACCTGTGCCACAAATACCATCTGGCTGCGACAAAGAACTGGTGGGATCACATGTCAGAAAAAGTTACAGAAAATGAACACGTTAAACTACTCTGGGGCTTCCGAACTCAAACTGACAGGGTTTTGGAGCACAACACTCCTGACCTCACGATAATGTTAAAAAACAAAGTATGGATCGTCGATGTTGCAATCCCAGGTGACAGCAGGATTGAAGAGAAACAACTGGAAAAGCTGACACGATATCAGGATTTAAAGATCAAACTGCAAAGACTCTGGCACAAGCCCGTAAATGTGGTCCCAGTGGTGACCGGCACACTGGGTGAAGTGCCTAAAGACCTTGGCCTGCACTTAAACACAATCAGCGCTGACAAGATTACCATCTGGGCTTGGCCTCATGTAAGCTGCTCTGAGTCCCCATCAGGGAGAAGGTGGCGGGGTATAAATAAAGTATTATTATTATTATTATTATTATTATTATTATTATTATTTATCTGCCAGCTGCAGAAGGCCACCATACTGGGATCTGCACACATTATTCGTTGATACATCACACAGTCCTAGACACTTGGGAAGTGTCCGACGTGTGATCCAGTACAACAGCCAGCAGAGTGATCTTGTCTGCTGTGGACTCATCTTGTTGTGTTTCAAATAATAATAATAATAATAATAATAATAATAATAATAATAATAATAATAAGGATGCATCTACCTCAGTACATTGTATGGAGACTTTGTGAATTTTCATGAAACTATACTGAAGACGACGAACCTGTGCTTCAGGATTCTCATTCTGCATATCAATCTGCAACTGTGAAATATTAGACAGAAATGCACTCTTTAAAAAACCATAAAGCGAGAGCCTTGATTTGCCAGTTTGACCCCTTGATTGGAACAAGTGTGGCACGTGGAACATGCTTTTCCCAGGGTTTGAGGCTGGAGCCCCTCTCCACCTAATCCGGAGATACCAGGAGTGGAGTCTTGTGTGCGCAAAGTACGTGCTCAACTGCTCTGCTCCCACGCTGCATACATACTTCTGTTCCTTCCTGTGTTATTAGTTTAAACATGTATCCTAGACAAATAGATCTAACGAAAGAAAGAAAGAAAGAAAGAAAGAAAGAAAGAAAGAAAGAAAGAAAGAAAGAAAGACGAAAGGAGGGAAGGGAAGGGAAAGGGAAGAAAGAAAGAAAGAAGAAGAAAGAAAGAAAGAAAGAAAGAAGAAAAAAGGAAGGAGGAAGGAAGGAAAAGAAAGGGAAAGAAAGAAAGAAAGAAAGAAAGAAAGAAAGAAAGAAAGAAAGAGGAAGGAGGAGAAGGAGGAGAAGGAAGGAAGGAAGGAAGGAGGGAAAGAAGAAGAAGAAAGAGAAAGGAAGGAGAAAGGAAGGAGGGAAGGAGGGAGGAGGAAGGAAGGGAGGAAGGAAGGAAAAGGAAGGGAAAGGAAGGAAAGAAAGGAAGAAAAAAAGAAAAGAAAAGAAAGGAAGGAAGGAAGAGGAAGGGAAGGAAGAAGAAAGAGGAAGGGAAAGGGAAAGAAAGAGAAAGAAAGAAGGAAAGAACAAAAAAGAAAAAGAAAGAAAGAAAAAGAAAGGAAGGAAGGAAGAGGGAGAGGAAGGGAAGGGAAGGGAGGGGAAGGGAAAGAAAGAAAAGGGGAAGGGAAGGAGAGGGAGGGGAATGGGAGGGGGAAGAGGAAGAGGAAGGGAAGGACAGATCCCTTTTATATCCCATAACAACAGTTTTATGGTATTTATATGTTTTTATGTATACAATGTA